TAAGGAGATGGAGATTTGTATCAAAGATATTCGAACTTTAGAAGAAAAAGAATGTTTGTGTAATTAGTTTTGAAATTCCTCTGCTTTTAGTCAAAGGAAGGTGAAGAGTTTTGGCTTGAGCAGAATGGAACTACTCTGCTCTTTCCAGCACTGGACAAACAATCTGTGCTAATGCAGTATCTTGTTTTTAAATGATGTTGAGCTCCAAAGAAGCTGTGTGGGGCTTCTTCTTTACTCTGATTGAGCAGATTCTTCAGGGTTTTACTGCCATGGTTTCAGTACAATTACTTTTTTTTTTTCTGGAATAGAACTTCTTGCATATCACATTTTTTAGTCACATCTCTGCTAAAGCTTTAAACCACTGGGTTTGCTTTTGTTGGGTTTTTTCCTCATAAAAGTAGTAAGATTGGGGCCATTCTCATGATTTAATTAGCCATTGATATTTTTAAATTGATCTCCCTTGACATGATCAGGGAGATTTTTATACTTAACTATCTCATATCGTAATACCTGAGTTACCCTTTAGATGGGAATTCTGCCTGTGGTAAAACTTGACAGTCGTGATTATAAACCAGAATTCACAAGGTGTGTGTACAGGATAAGGTTTGAAGCACGTGGCTCAGTGAGTTGGTTGTGCAGGAAATCCACTTTTTCCGGTAAACTGGAAAGCAGACAAACAAAGTTGGTACTGATTGATACCCTCAGACCTATGTGAACAGCTCGTTTTCTGTTTGTTTTTTTTTTCTTTTTGTTTACCAAAGGATAAATCTGCTCCCAAAGCTTCAGGCAAACTGTTTGACAGCAGTGAGGACGAGCAGGACGATACGGACGACGAGCGATTCAAAATTAAGGCCCAGTTTGAAGGCAAGGCTGGGGAAAAAGTGAGTGAACCCATTGCTGGAACTGAGTTGTCCTTCTTCTAAGTCTCTGTAAGGCCACTTCAGAAGAACATAACTTGTAGGCTTGTATTACTGCTGAATATGATTGTTATGAACATTATAAAATAGAGTTCCCTTAAATAGAGGCAAGAGCAGCCACGGAGGAAGTAACGTGTGGGGTCATCTTTGTATGCAAAGAAATTTCTGGAAAAGGCCTCAAGAGCTAAAGGTTATTCGTATGTTACCATTAATGATAGTAAAAAGAAAAAAGTTATAGAATGTTGCTGATTTCCTGCTCCAGTGCTTAAGAGCATCTGTTTCTCTTGTTTAGCTCCTGAAGCTGCAATCCCGATTTGGCACCGACGAAAGATTCCGCATGGACGCTCGATTCCTGGAGAGTGACAGTGAGGAGGAAGGTAAACCTGTCCATATTTCCTGCTGCTAATGGAACCGTGTCCTGGAGCTTCAATTTTTGAAGCAGCTCCTGGAGTACTTTTGCTTCTTTGGTGATTCTTTAAAGAAAACAACCCAACTCTGCCGTGGCCGTGCGCAGTAAATGCTGGTGGCTGGGTCGTCTTAAAGGAGTCTGTTGCAAAAGTATTTGTAAGAGCTGAATGAGGGGTATGTGGCTGATAAATCACCTTTTGAAAATAGCTTTTAGTGCAGCATTCTACAGCTTGTGTTTATCCACATGGAAAACCAGGGTAAGTGGTGACTTAGTAAAGTCACCTTTTTGACCATTACATTCATTTAAACTGTTTTGTAGCCATCCTGCAGTCCGTGGCAGATTTGGCAGCCTTAGAAGGGTTTATTTTTTAATTTAACAGCAGAAAGCAGAAACGCTGAGAAAGGGAAAAAGAAATGAAATCTCCCCCTGCCCCCAAAAAAGGAAAATTTTAACCCAGTGTTCAAGATTGACAATTTCTTTCTGAAACTGAAATTTTTGCCTGGTTCTGCTACTCCCTTCGTTGCTTTAATGTGATCTTCTCTAGAGCATCAGTCAGTGGCAGAGTAGTTGCACAGTCATGAGGTCTAAGCAGGGAACAAGTTCAATAACGGATCTGACTTTCACGTGAAATAGATACCCACGACTGTTCTAATCAAAGATTGTCTACAGTGCAAGGGACAAGGCCTCTAAGTAGCTTTAAGATGAACAAAGGGATGGGTTTTGATGGATGTGAGCTCTTCTAGTACTGTAGTGATATTATGCATCAAATATTACAGGCTTAGCAGGGAAAATAGAATGTATTTATTGTTCTCTTAGCAGAGACAAAGAGCTTGAAGGCAGATGAGGAAGAGGAGCTTGCTGCAGAGAAAAAGAAAAATCTGCAACTACTGGGAAGCCTCTTGAACATCAACCTGGAACAGCCTAAGCCAAATAAAACAGCCACAAGTGCCAAGAAATTCAAGTATGACTCATCCACCATCAGCAAAGGAGTTTTAGGGAGGCTTAATTTTTGCCACTGTTCCCTAACTAAACTTTCTGCCTAGATGGCTGAGAAAAGTAATTCCTTCCTTGTCTGTATTTGAAGTCAGTATTGAATGCACTTTCTCAGTCACTGACTGCTTAGCAGGGGTTTTCTAAATGCCAGCTACATTTTGGAGGTTTTTTGGTACAGAACTCGATGTGAATTTGGATCCTACTGTGAAGGTTTGGGGTGGCTTTCGGTTGAGCCTTCAGAATGTCTCATGGCTTTTCCTTCCTGTTTTCATAGAGATATTAATGCCCTCCGTTATGATCCCACAAGAGAGGACCATGCAGTTTTTGAAAGGAAGCCAAGTGCTGCAGAAAAGGAGAGGTAATATTGCAGCTTGGTAGCTATAGTTGTGATGTTTCTTCCCGTGGAGAGATGGTTTTAG